TATGACGCAACTGGCCTATTTATATCGCTTTATATGCATCTGTTGCTCCTGGGGTGGCTAGCTTTTCGTGGGTTAAATTACTAAAAACACTTGTCTCGTAATCCGGCGATTTCGGTTTGGAGGGGGCACTTTGCACTTACGCTAGTTTCTTTCGCTAATCCATGTCAAGTAGCGGGTCTCGCTTTGGTAGAACCTGTAAGCTCTTGTAAAGCTCTGAAATGATACAACTGGACCCATTTTAGCAACAGGAATTTACAGATCTTCACAAGGTAACCTGCACAAACTTCGCACAGTACATCGGTGCCCCCACCAAGCAGAACAGCGCCTAATTTTGCTCGTTTTTAAAATCTGTAAGATTGATAACCAATAACTGTCCAAACAATGACACACTATTCAGTTACCGTACCACCGATATCATCTGACTCATCAATATCGATCGATAAACAAGTCTGTGATCTGCAGATTTACATGAATGTGCGTCCGCTATGCATTTCGATTCATTGTAATAGCTGCTGTACTATTCTGTTTATGGTATTCACTGACACATAATATTCAACAATTACGCGCATGTGACAACCTACCGTCACCACTTTACGTTCACCCGGTAAGTGAGAGAGCACAGAAACAGGGCAGGGAAATTTGTGGTCTTTGACCGGCAAAACCCTACTGCTCCTGTTCGGGTCTTACAAGGTTATAAGATTAGGAAGACAAACGATATACAGTATCCCCAAGTAATTGTGCGTAAAATCAAATGTCGGTCCCGTGAACGCGCAGAAGAGAGCATATGATCGGGTTTAGTTACCCAACTTTGTGAAACTTATAAGTCTGTATTATACGCATACGCCTTTTACACTTCCTCGAAAGCTTCGGGGTGGAGCCAACAAAAAGCGACGCTAAATCTACCCTCCAGCTCTACAAAGTGCTGCCTAGGCGTAATTTGAGGTGTACTGTGTGCCCTCGTCCCACGCACTTAATTTTACGCGCAGTTTTGAATACTGTGTCCCGCCTGTTCTCCTAAACTTATAATTCAATTCTGATCTACCTTGGCACAAAGCGTCCTTTTCAGGTCCACTCGACCGCTGACTCGCCGGCGGTGCCGCGCGAACCACACGCGGCGTTCGCGCCGCGAATTCGTCTTTTGCCGCATTCGCTGTGCGAGACGAACGCCACCGTAGTGTTCGTTATCCATTCAGATGTCCGCAACATTGCTCAACGACAATTTCAGCGGAAGCAACTCGACGACGCCTGGCTGGAGACGGTTTGTAAGACCAGATTCCAAAAATAAAGGCACTGCCTGGCTTGGGAGGGGCATTTTGCACTATCGCTAGTCTCTTTTGCTAGTTTCTGTCAAATTATACGCCTCGTTGGGGAGGGGACCTGTACACTGTTGTTAGGTCTGAATGAGGCTCGCCTAGGGCGAGGCCTTTAGATTTGCTGTCAGGTCGAATGAGCTTCCTTCCTTGCATGAGCTTCACAACGGAATTTATAGGCCTCTACGGAAGCGTCGCGAGTGCCTCGATTGAAACCAGCAAAATGCTCCCCCGCAAGGCCGAAACAGCTGCGAAACGGAATACTGATGAAAGATAATATGACTTTAGCTTTGAGCGCAAGTGCGCATTTTGTCATTGCGCAGTACGAGCGAGTCACTGGCAAGTTGAAGGAAGCAGAGATTCAACGACTTAGTCACATCGATGACGATCGACAGCCTCATTAATATTACCTACAGGTTGGTAAGTCGATCACCTGGGCAAGTATTTGATGGGTTGTGTATTAGATGAATATAGGATTTTATTGCTGCTGATATGTTCTAAAGCAGTGCTTGGCAGCCTATGGAGGTGATTGAAACCAGGCGCTAACAGTTTTGAAAGGGAAGAAAATTAACAGCCTGTGCAAGGTTACAATTACTGTAGTCAAGATGAGCACTGTCGCCGAGGCCTAAGGAGGAAGGAGCTCCGGGCAGATGAAGCAATTCAAAGCGGTCCTATATTCTAATTACGTTAATCCCAGTTTTGCACAAAGAGTCCTTCAAACACACCCCCCACCCACGCCCACCTAGTTATTAGCGCGAGATTCTAATGCGCGATAGTACAGCTTTAATAAAAGCGGTGGTGAAAACAGCACAACCGATCGACCATTCATATGTTCAGCTTGCGCTGATCCTCTGGTGCGGGTGGGTGAGGGGAGAGGGGACTAACGATACGTGTGCCTCTCCTGCTCCCTTCCCTTCTAAAACGGCAAGGAGGCAAAGCACGCTAATTAGGAAAGCTCAACTTTTATCTTCCTCCGCACATAGGCGCAGCTTGGACTAGGCTTTTGAGGCAGTGGTCCATACTTTCGAAACCTTCTATTAGCTGCTTATATATGAAATACCAATCCGCCCCACCCCCCTTACCAGCGCGCCCTTTAGCAACCTCTGATCTCTCTCTCTCTTTCTCTTGAGTAAACTGCGCGTCATCGAGCAACCCTCTACTCTCTTCCCCTTTCTGCAACCTCTGCTCTTTTCCCTTTCTATCTCTCTCGCTCTTCAACATCACTCGGCGCGTTCTCTAACAACCTCTGCTCTCTTTCTCTCTTTTCGACAACACTCAGCGCGTCCTCTAGCAGCCTCCGCTCTCTCTCCTAGACAACACTATAGCATTTGCAGCCGCCGTCTGCGTTATCAGATCAGGTGTGGAAGCAAAATATAGACTTACAACTTTCAGGCACAGGCATGGGTTCAACTTCTGTCATCATGTCCAGAGGCACCGGCTTTTATAATCAAACTCGATGATGACGTCATGGTGGATCGGATTGGCGTTGAGTATCTAATTGACAGGTTTGTCTACATTCCACTACCTCTGACTATTGAAAAAAGCTTCCTCTGAGGAATCTCACTACTATAGCACTTTGGGGATGGGGCACCTGGAAGCAAGTGGAAGCCAAGCCCCTCTCTGTTCCTCCGTCCTCCTAACGAAATAGCGCTTCAGTTAGTTTAGCGACGAAATGTCCTAAACTGGGTGCAATTCTGCCATGGGACTTCTTTGAGCCCCTCCTGCAC